TTTCTATCAAATCAAGTCTCTCCCTAATGTCATCAAGTATGACAAGAATTTTTCTTCCTTCTTCACCTCTCACGCAACTGACTTGCTCTTTCTGTTTCTGTCCCAGCCCATCAGCAATTTGACCTTGAATTTTCTTATATTAGAAGAAGGGGCACACCCCTAAATGAACTCAGTTCTAGCCTTCTAGGTAAAGGCCTAGGTTTTTTAAAGCCACTGTGATTTTTTTTAAAGGGGCACATTTCATTCACTCGAAAATTAAGAACACATTTCACATATTACCAAAAGCGACTATCAATACAAGACATAAAATTTATAACAATCTATAAATACAAAGCAATTTAAATTAATTTGATCTCACCTAAATCTCAATAAAGGTACTGCTGATCTCCTTGTCCCTGCTAGGTTGGCCAGCACTAGATGTAGATGCTAGGTTTCGTGGTGTTATACACAAAAACACATATAAATGCCTAATTATGTATGAAGCAAAGAATTGAGAGAGCGCACAGAGATAACGACCGGGAAAGCACGAGAAACTTCATAAACACGCGGGCGTAGCGATTTCTATTCCAATCTTCCACTTGAATCTTTCCTATTCTTTAATTCAGGCCCAAAAGAAAAATTATATTTATGAATATGTTTCAAACTTCAAAACCACCGCCACGGACAATTTAAAGTCTTGATCATATAATACTGAGCCATTACAATTGGTCCTGGGATGGATATCAGGGGTTTCTTGCGGTGGGAAACTAACGTTTGTAATTGGATCATGCAGTGAGAAGAAAATGAATAGGTAGTAACGGTATGTGGAGGAAATATATGAAGGGAAGAATGTCCTGCTTCGAAATACACAATCATCTTTCCTCTGATTTCTAGATACTCAACTCTGGTATTTCAGTTCCGGCTGTACCTCTTCGGCAATGGAGTTATCGCCTCAACCCCAAATGGAGACATGCTAACGAAGCTTCTTTTCGAGCGATTTTGTCGTCTAAAGCATTCAATTTTTATGATTAGTTTTCCCCAGATATCCAAATTTCTTCATACCGATGCGAAAAGGGTTAAAGGCGGTAAATTGATCGCACACTGGAATTCTCAGATCACCAAAAATGGCAGAAACGGTAATATCAAAGAGGCAGAGTCAATATTTAGGAGTATGCCCAGAAAGAGTACTGTCTCCTGGACTGCTATGCTCACTGCTTATGGTGAAAATGGCCAAATTGCAAATGCCCGCAAAATGTTCGAAGAAATGCCAGAACGAACCACAGCTTCCTATAATGCTATGATTTCTGCTTATATACGTAATGGATGTAACGTCCATGAAGCTTATAGGTTGTTTTCTATGATGCATGAACGCAACGACGTCTCATATGCTGCTATGATTACTGGTTTTGTTCGTGCAAGAATGTTCCATGAGGCTGAAAAATTGTACTTTGAAGCTCCGCTAGAGTTGCGGGATCCGGCTTGTTCGAATGCATTGATAATTGGGTTTTCGAAGATAGATAGAATAAATGAGGCGTTGTGGGTTTTTGTGGGCATGGCTGAGAGAGACGTGTTCTCTTGGACTTCTATGATTGATGGTTTGTGCAGAAATGGAAGGATTGTTGATGCTAGAAACTTGTTTGATAGAATGCCTGAAAGAAACGTGGTTTCCTGGAGTGCAATGATAGATGGGTATATGAAAAAAGGATGCTTCAAAGATGGGTTTGATTTGTTTTTAAATATGAGAAGGGAAAATCTGGTGGAGGTTAATTCCACAACCATGACTATAGTGTTGAAAGCTTGCGGTTGTTGTGGTGGGATTCGAGAGGGAATGCAAATACATGGGCTGGTTTCACGCATGGGATTTGAATCTGATGATGTTTTGAGTAACACCATTGTAACCATGTATTGCACATTGGGTTGCGTGGACATGGCAGACAAAATATTTAGCTCCATAAGCAAGAGGGACATAGTTTCTTGGAATTCCTTATCTCTGGATATGTTCATAACGATGAAATAGAAGCAGCTTACAGGCTTTTCCTGAATATGCCAGAGAAAGACTTGATTTCTTGGACAGCCATGATCACTGGATTCTGTAATAACGGGAGAGTTCGAAAGGCCATCAAGCTATTTGAAATGTTGCCGGAGAAAGATGATATTGTCTGGACTGCCATTATTTCTGGATTTGTGAGGAATACGCAATATGAGAAAGCTTTGCATTGGTATGTTCAGATGCTTCGAGGAGGATGCAGACCAAATCCTTTAACACTAAGCAGTGTTCTTTCAGCTTCAGCTGCTTTGGTGATGCTGAATCAAGGGATGCAAATTCATACTAATGTTTTGAAGATGAACTTGAATGTGATTTATCTGTACAAAACTCTCTTGTATCAATGTATTCCAAATGTGGGTATGTGAGTGCTGCCTACACGATCTTCATAGACGTCATTGAACCAAACATAGTTTCTTTCAACTCAATCATTACTGGGTTTGCCCAAAATGGCTTTGGTGAAGAAGCCATTAAAATCTACAAGAAAATGCAGTGTGAAGGGCCTGAACCCAACCATGTTACTTTCCTTGCTGTTCTTTCAGCCTGCACTCATGCAGGACTGGTACAAGAAGGATGGAATTGCTTCAACTCGATGAAATCTGAATATGGAATTGAACCAGGACCTGATCACTATGCATGCATGGTCGATCTCCTTGGCCGTGCAGGGTTGCTAGATGAAGCAGTTGATTTGATAAGGTCAATGCCAGTGAAACCTCATTCTGGTGTTTGGGGGGCCGTTCTTGGGGCAAGCAAGACATATTCACGTCTTGACATTGCGAAGCTTGCAGCACAATGTATTATTGAAATGGAACCTTCTAATGCAAATCCTTATGTAGTGATGTCAAACTTGTATTCTGTTTCTGGTAAAGAGGCTGAGAGGAACCAAGTCAGAATCACAAAGAACCTGAAAGGAATTAAGAAAAGTCCAGGTTGTAGTTGGATTACTGTGTAAGACAAGCATATTTAAAATTTTTTATGTGTTCTTCTAGTCTGTATGCATTTATTGCATTTGAGGGGGGAAAATGATTAATATGAAGATAATATATAGACGACAGATAGTACATACAGTCATATTTTTTAATGTCATTTTTTTAATATACCAACGAAAGAGATCTGTTTTTCCCCATGAATATAAATTATAAAAGATCAAGTTGAAACTTTTTATATGCCTTTTTTTTTTATTTAGAAAGATATATAGCGAGACTGCAAAAAAGCTTTTAGGCCATCATGTGGAATCATTTTGCCGTGTTTAAGATAAATATATGATAAAAATTTATTTCGCATAGCAGAAAAAAGTATTTTTCAGTGATTATGGAAGTTTGCCAAACAAGCACTTTATAAAAGCACTAGCAAAACTTTTATATATAATTTTTTGGAAGGGAATACCGTTACAGGCATACAGATACAGAAGATTACAGAAAAGGGGAGGGCATTTTTGTGGTATTTGGTTAATGAATTTAATTAGCCTAGTATTTAACAACAAGACAGAAGATTATACGTATCATCATACAAAGATATGTTGTATTTAGCACCCTAAAATACCTTGTAATACATTTAACATCCTAAAATATTATTTTTTAAGATACTGGATGCATATAAAAATATTTCAAAATACTAGATATGTCGTAAAATATTTTAGGATGTTGCACCTCAACCCCATCATATATATATATATACACACACATATGTGTGTGTATATAAATTGAGAATGGTGAAAAGAATGTGGAAGACCGGGTCAGTAAAGTGAAATAAATAAAAACAGAAAAGGGAATAAGGAAAACATAGCATTGGGTAAAAAGAGGGCTGGTAGCATTTATAGGACAGTACGTCAAAGAGCCCACTTCCTATACTTCGCTTCCTCTTTTTTAATGCTTTGACAGTGACACCTCTCTGTAGGCATCCCACAATTGCAAATCACCTTCCTTTTTCCTCCCACCTCACAATTATCACTTATTTCATTTATTTGGTTCCATAAATTATTCCCCAAACGACTGAAAAAATGATATTCTTTTTTATTAAAGATAAAAAATAAATATTAAATATGACCCGTACCTTTTTTTTTAAATACATAAAAAAATAGATCCAACCCTTTTGCACAACGGAGCATATGTATTTTATTTAGTGCGCTTCTAGTTATTCTGGCCTCATAAATCTTTGTCAGGGAACATTTATTTTTAGTATCACTGAGTCAATTGTTCTCACATTCACATTTTTAAGGTCAATGGGTCCTGTTTGACTCCTTTTTTATTTTTCAAACACTTTTTTTAATTGAACACAAATTACAAAATTCACATTAAGAATCATTTCTCTTCTTTTTTTTTCCTTTCATTACAATCAGTTAAACATACCCACTTATACCAACATAGAATTTAAAATCTCATCTAAATATAGCGCTATAACTAACAGAGTTTATTAAAAAAAAAAAGGGGAATAATATTAAGTACATGGGCGAATATGTTTCACAGAGAACAATGTTAAATTTCTGGCGACTGACATTTGAGACAATCGGAGCTAAGAAGGGTCACGAGGTCTCACATGAGGCTACCTCAAAAAGTTGAATATTATAATCTTAGACAATTCAAAATTCCTGGTCTGACCAACAATTATACTCTTATTAATGTGATCGCCCGTACACGTGGCACTCGTTGGAAATTATTGGGAACATCATCCACTGGGTCCCACCCTTCACGAACATCACCCCCCTCCCCCGCCTTCCTTCCTTCTGACTATTATGTTATCATGTCTCTCTCACAACCAACTACCATACACTCTCATTCCATCATCACCAGATCCTACGGTCCCCATTCATTTGGCCAATCTCTCTCCTCTTTCCTTTCGGTAGGGCCCACCCCTTTGGATACTTTCCATCAAGTAGACCTGTGCCACGTGTACGGGCATTGATTTTGTACCCTTTTTCGGGACTCGCTGATGAGATCTTGCAAATCCCAAATGTTAAAAATTGAAGAGTACAACAGGGTGCTAAGTTCTGAGTGTGAAGCGGACGCTGCAGGGAAGCAAGCTGTTGGTGGGGAAGAAGTCTGGTTTGGGAATCAAAGAATCTTTTGAAGAAGGAGGAGGAGAAGACACTGCGCACCAAGTTTCCTGTGGATTTCGCTCTGGTTGCATTATTGAGTGTGAGTTTTTGTTCAAAGTTTTCGACTTGCTTTGCTTTGCTTTTATCCTGTACTTTCTTGTACTCGAATCTCGGTTGGGAAATGCTTCATCTTTTCTGGGTTTCTCTCATTCGTTTCTGAGATTTGGGCTAGTTTTCTCGCTGCTGTGCTGAATGAGAGGGAAGTCTGTGTTGCTGAATTTTGCAGCTTGGGGAACTCTAGGGTGGTTCAGCTGGTTTCTTTTGATAAAATCGTCGTTCTTCTTTGCAAAATCGTGAAATTTTATGCTGGCGGCAAATGGGTGTTAGTTGAGTTAAAAATTCGAGTAATGGGTGTCCTTGGGGAGAGTTTTCGTCTGTTCTAATGAATTTTTTATTTGCAATCATTGCTCTCGCCATTGACGTCTTTTTGTGTATTATTGAGATGTCATTTAGTATGGTTAATTGTTTTTCCTTATTTCGCAGACCTGGTGAGCGGCCGTGACAAATATTTCTATTTTTTCGTTGTGTTCTTTGATGAACGATTAATTTCATGATGTGAAAGAATTCGCCAGCCTGGAATAGTTTATGAGGTAACTGCTCAGGATGCTTAATGATAACATACAGCTTGGCAGTTTCTACTTCGTATTTTCATTTTCACTTAAACTAATTGATATTGTTTTTAATTATACCCATGCTTATGCTTAAATCAGCAAGTTTAAGGCATCTATTCCTTTATTCAATTATAGTTCTAACAACCATATAGCATACATCATTCACAAGTAAAATGTCTTAAATCAGCACAGCTTATGGGTAGATTATTATTTGTTTTTATTTTTGGTCAACTTTATAAGTCGATTATTTGCTTTAATTTTGGGTAACCTTAGTCCATCAAATTTAAGGACCACAACTTGACAGGTTTGCGTGGTGGTCCTTGACTTGCACTGCCTCGAAGTTCCGGTTCATCTGGATGTCATTTACTTGGACTCATTTTCTGATCAGTGATTTACAGCAAAACTGGATATGAGTAAGCTGGTGGGGACATGCTTGAACCGCGTGAATCTGATATACCTGCCCTGTTTGTGGTTTTAGTTGTACTCCCTCTGGTTGCTTATTTCTTACTTGGAAAATGGAGTGAGGCTGCAAAGAAGAGAGATAGGATAACTTTACTTGCACAATTGGCTGCTGAAGAAGCTAGCAGAGTGGAAGAAATGGCTATTTCTGATGTTGTTCCTCCTGTTTCTTCTCCAAAGATTGGACTACATGTGTGTGCTAGGTGTTCTGCTCCAGCAAAAACCCGGTGCTCCAGATGCAAGACCGTTAGATATTGGTAATTTGTTTACCTGATGTTTGTTGCAAAAGAAATTTTATTTTCTGTGATCCCTAATACTTTCAGACACAAGTTTCAAGCGTGTTTGGAATTCATATCAATGAACATTTGTCTGAAGATGGTTATCTGGGGACTAGTGCATTCCAGCGGGAAGGTTATTTGATATTTGTAACTGATGGACTTCACTAATGGATGTGAAAATCACCACTGGACAAGGAAATCATGCTTAAATAAGTTGCCTCCTCTCCTATTTGGGTTGTTCTCGTTTGAATTTCTTCATTTTTGTTTCCCTAGAACTTTTCTGCTTTTTAATATTTTCTAAAGGTTGACGGGATGAGCAATGGAATTAGGGAATTTGGAGTTTTGTTATCTTTTTTCTTGTTACTTTTTCGCTTCTGTGCCTTCTATATAAGAAATCAGTGGGTACTTCAAAGTCTCAAAGGAATGGCCACAATACACCTAGTCGATTGGAATTAAGAAACTTCTGCCCCTTTTGTTGCAAACATGCAGTTCATAGGGAGATAAAGAAATAGAGAAAATTGGTCGCTTATCCCTCCAAGGAACATGAAAAGCGACATAGTTTACTACCCTTATACTGAACGTTTCTTCCTAGAGTAAACTAGGATAGGACGTGGAGTCCTATCAAATTGTATTTATAGTGTGTATTAAAAATTATAAAAAATGTGCGTACAGATAAATATTATGCACTTCTTTCACAAATTTAATGCCTCTCTTGTTTCTTTTGTTGAATAAAGAGAGCTTCCTCCCTCTTAATTTAATAATTATCAAGCTTTCCTATTGTACTCATAGACAGCTATTAGTATGCAGATTCGGTGAATGATAGTAAACTTCCATACTTAGGCGTGAATAGATTTTATATTTGATTACCTGCTTGAAAAATCTCCTATTGCAGTCATGTATGCAGAAAACATAACATTCTTTTTTATCTTCAAATTTTGTTTCTCAAAACTCACTTTAAATTGGTTTGCAGCTCTGGGAATTGTCAAATAATTCATTGGAGGCAAGTTCACAAGCATGAATGTCAAATTTTGGAAACTCATAAATTAAACTCATCTCCTCTAGCTGTTCCAGTTGACGAGTTCAGTCATATTTGTGGCTTATGTTATGAAAATATGAACTCTCAGCTCTGTGCTCATAACTTGGTGAATACTTTTAACGAGAACTCACCTTCAGACAATTTGGTCCACCTGCCAATTGGCATCACTCCTCTGCTATGGAAAATTGTGCTCTCTTTAATAATTCTCATGTCTCCACCTCTGAGAGAAGAACATCTCATAAATCCAGTAGAGAAGCACGTAGAAGAAACAGTGAGACCACAAATGATTCTTCTACTAATTCCTCTGGATGTAAAGCTAGCAGTTCTCCCTCTTCTGTTGTGGCATCAAAAGAGGTGTCTGTGAGACAGAAGGTTTGCTTGTTTGACTTTGATATTCAATGTTAAAACATTTTCTAAATTGATAATTTTTTATGTCTAATTATCATGATAAATTGTTGCTGTAGTTAAAAAATAATGACTATGCTGTAAAGGAAGAAGAAAATGCTAAGAAGGTTAATGCTAATGAGGTCTATATAAACGGACAAAACGCCCCAAGGAGCACGATGCTTGACGATGATAACCATCAAAATCAACTTGGAAATGCTTGTAGCCCAAAAAACGATGAAGGACACTCGTGTTCATCAAATGTAGCAGTCATTGGTGAACTATTGGATCAATTTCAAATAGATGATGCTGCCAATGGAGGACATGTTGTCAATGGGGTAAATTGTTCTTCCAGTGAAGCAGAACAAGCCAAATGCTTGTCTGAAACGACAATCAAAGGAAGCATAAAAGCTAAAAAATCACCCCGCCCTCCCAAGACTAAATGTTCCAAATCAACGTTGAAGGCATCAGTTGATTTATTTTGCCGAGAAATGGAGATGGAAGGGCAAACTGCCGATGAACCAAGTTAGTACAGTAGAAAAGTTCTTTTTTATTCACTATATTATGTGATTTGTGTAATTCAAGTTCACTATTGGTAGTTTGTATGGTGCTCTACATTTGGCATTGTTTAATGATGCTGAGTCTATCTCAAAAAGAAATCTTTATTGATCATGCAGGAGTTTCTGGGATCAGGAACACCATGCCTTCACAAGGTAGCAATGGAGCTGCAAGCATTGAAATAAGGAAAATGATGGGGCTAAGGAAGTCAGCAAAACATACTGAGATGGCCACCTCTGAAGGTAGTGGAGACAGGTGCAAGACGATGAAGGTAAGTTTTCTGTAGACGCATCAAGTTTTAATTTCTTTAATGAGTTTCCTACTCAAGAACGTATGACTGAGGCCTTGATTTGGAAACTGATTCCATTCTGACTTGACATTTCTTGATGTTTCAGATGTTGTTCCCTTATGATGACTTTGTACGGTTTTTCCAGAGTGAAGTGTTTGGCATATACCCCAGGGGCCTTGTAAATTGTGGAAACAGGTATTACTAGCATAATCCAACAAATCATAGAAATGTGAGGAAAGATCAATAGAAATGACGATTACATGGTGGACAGATCACTTGTACTTTTTGTTAATACAAGGGGGCTGCCCTTGGAAGCACTGATATGGTGCACATATTTATGACATGATACAATATCTATGATATAACAATGTCTAAATTTTAGGGTTTGGGTGTGGGTTAGGGTGTGTTTTGGACAAATTAGCACATGAAAAAGCTAAGTACATAAAATTTGAGTCTTAAACAAACATATCAAATGTAACATAAGATGTCTATCAAAGTATAAAATGAACTAAATCTAGAGTTTCTAATTTAAATTAAATGCAACTTTCATCGCGATTTGCATTAGTAAAATTTTCTGTAAGCTCTTGAGCTATTTTGGAACTTACAAAATGTTTTGAAACGTATTGAACAAAAAGAGAAGGTTGGCCATGTGGATGTTTGAGTGCCGTAGGCATATTTGATACAGTACAACTAATTTATTTAACTTGTTGCTTCAAGTAGGCATGCAATCATTTGTCATTAATTTAAACCTTTATGCACTAGAAATTTGAAAGGGTAGAAGAGACTTGTTTGTTTAATTGACAAAATAGCCCATATTCTGCTAGAAGAAAATTTTGTGGGAAATCTTTATATTGAATCAATTTTAGATGTCATGGGATGGTGATCAATTTATATATCTTTATTATTTTGCAGTTGCTATGCCAATGCTGTCTTGCAATGCTTGACGTGCACAAAGCCTCTTGTCGTCTATTTTCTTTGTAGATCACATTCAAAAGCCTGTATGTACATTCTCTCTCTCTTCAATATTATTATAAATATAAATAAACATGCATTACTAAAACGAGAATAGTTGCTTTCCCGGGAAATGTTTTTATTTTTAATCTTGTTGCCAGGTTGTACAAAAGACTGGTGTCTCATGTGTGAGCTAGAGCAACAGATAATGATTTTAAGAGAAAATGGGGGCCCTTTATCTCCTAGCAGGATACTTTGGCATATGAGGAGCATAAATTCCCAAATGGGTGATGGAAGTCAAGAAGACGCCCATGAATTTTTAAGGTCTTTTGGATAAGCTGGTCAATTTGTTTTTGGCATTCACATGTTTAAGGGATACTAATTTTCCTCTTCAAACATCTTTTTATACTATTCTCATTAATTCCTTGATATTTAGTTTTGTACTTTTCTTGATATAGTTCTCTGTTTTATGCTAAAATATGATAATAAGGTCTTAAGTTATGCTTAGTTAATATGCAACTGAAGGCGTTGTTTATGTAGGCTTCTAATTGCGTCAATGCAATCTATATGCTTGGAGAGACTTGGGGGTGAGAAAAAGGTTGATCCTAGACTTCAAGAAACAACTTTTATACAACACACTTTTGGTGGTCGTCTTCAATCCAAGGTGTTCGCCACACTTTTGTCTTGTCAAGTTTTTTTTTCCTCTGGTTGCAAGTTTTTATGGGCAGCTTTTTGAATGTTTGATGACATTGCCATTTCATGACTATAGGTGAAATGTTTGAATTGTAACCATGAGTCAGAACGATATGAGAACATTATGGATCTAACACTGGAGATATTGGGTTGGGTCGAATCTTTGGAAGATGCACTGACGCAATTTACATCCCCAGAAGACTTGGATGGAGAAAATATGTACAAATGTGGAAGGTCTGATAATCTCATTTTTGTATAACTATTGCATTGCATGTATCATAATTGGTTATATTAATCATAACAAAGAAAGAGAGGTTGCAAAAGAAAGCGATGAGACCTTTAGTTCTATCACTTTCAGTTTTAGAAGCTCACCTGTCTTTTTCACATTTGGAACAAGGTGCACTACATATGTTCGTGCTAGAAAGAAGCTCAGCATACACGAGGCCCCAAACATCCTCACGATTGTCTTGAAAAGATTTCAGGTATTACATAGATAATGTTAGATCATTCTATAAACTGTGTTGCTCGTCCATTCATTAAAAACTTACACTGTTCAGTGTTCCGTTCTTTGGTATTCAGTCTCAGGCACAGCCACTTGCCCTCTCTAAGATTTATATTTGGTGGAACTTTGTTATTAAATATCTGATTGCGTCTAAATTCTTTCCTTTTCATATGTTAACCCATTTAAATATCCTGCTTTTGTTTCTGCATCATCAGGAAGGAAGATATGGAAAAATTAACAAGTGCATAACTTTCCCTGAAATGCTGAATATGACTCCTTTCATGACTGGAAAGGGGGATGTTCCTCCACTTTACATGCTTTATGCTGTTGTTGTTCACCTGGACACACTAAATGCATCTTTCTCTGGACATTATGTTTCATATGTGAAAGATCTGCAAGGAAATTGGTTCAGGATAGACGATACTGAAGTAAGTCTGCTGCCTTCTTTGCTCTCTGCATGTTGTGAGTCATTTTGTGTATTTAACTTCTTTTTATTGCACGACATTTTCTTTCTGAACTATTTCACTTTCCCTGAATTTCTTGTCATATAAGTTTGGAAAAGGTAAGAGATCATGAAAGTCAATGAGTTCAGATTTTTGTGAACTTTCATTTGTCATATATCCTCTTTTTTTTTGGGGGGGGGGGGGTCGCAGTAAAGCTGTTAGATTAAAGTTTATGCTTTTGCTGAATTTTCACAATGACCATTCATAAGATCCTCACTCATGGTTCTACATACTCAACCCAGAACATACCAGATAATGTTTTATGGGGTAGATTTGAATTTAGAGATGCTTAATTAATTCTTTATTTATTGTTAAACAGAAGCAAAGAGCAAATAACTTCTGATCTGAGAAAGCTTTCAAAACTACCTAGGGTTTGTGTGGAAAGGCCTATGAAGCTTATGATTATTCCCTGTGTAGCTGTATTTTGTATATTATATATGGATGAGAAGTTAATCTGAATAACAAGATACTGACGACTATCTTATAATGCCTTATTATTAAAACCAATAAGCACATACGTCCGAGATGTGACAGTGACTTCTGTACTCCCGTCTCAACTTTGGAATTTTGTTTTTTGTTCATAGAGAACCTAAATCTGTCATTAAATTTATACACACACACACACACATGTATATATTATTATATGTTTGTTAAATATGGTTCCATCTGAAGAAAACCAAGAAAGTGACATGCACTTTCTTCTATGATTATTGCTACTAATAATTTGCTTGAATTATCAAGTTTAATTGGGTTAATTTCTCATATTATTACACTCTATTATCAGGTTCAGCCGGTGCTAATTAGTCAAGTGATGTTAGAAGGAGCTTATATCTTATTTTACATGAGGTAGAGATTCTGTTACAAACTCATAATGGTTTAGAATCTTTCTTCCTCGTAAACTAGGTGGACCACCTATAAATTGCAGAGTTTCGGGAATTAATTGCACTGCCCACCGCTTGGGAATAATATGGCTCATCATAAATTTTATACGTTGCATAATTTTTCGCAGGTCTAGCCCTCGCCCTCAATCTGCATTTTCTGGGAAGGTCAAACAGCAACAAGTTCCCAGCTCTTCAAAGCAATACCCAGTAGAATCCCACAAGCCTTCTAAATCAGGACACAGAAGAGATAGCCGACAATTTGTTGTACCAGAGCCTTCACACAATGCCAGACCTGAAAGCACTACTAACTATATTGATACTTCCAATGGCACCCTTCAAAGAAGTACCAATAGGAACTTTTTGCCAGTGACAGAAACCTACACTGAAAACAATGGCAGAGAGTTTTCAGATGCTACATCAAGTGATTGGTCACTCTTCACCAGCTCCGATGAGGCCTCTTTCACGACTGAGAGTACTCGGGACTCCTTCAGTACTGTGGATTATGGTGATTCATGCAATATGGATCAATTTTCATCAATATTCAATTACACCACAGAAAATTCCAGAAATTCTGTTTGTCACAGGAAGTTCTTACACAGTAGGCCATTAACAAGATTCGTTCCCCAGAATGGGCAGGCATTTGGCACCAACTTGTCAAACCATCCGCCATTTGACCCCGATTTGTCGAACCATAATCTCGAATGGGCACGGCGAATGAACCAGTCAAAAAGTGCCAGCCATTCTTCAATTGAACCTCCTTCAAATGGCGACTGTGGTAGGTATGTATATTATGGGAGTACTAACCCCATTGCCAGGACTTACAGTCATTATGAACTCTAGCTCTTGAAAATTCTGCAGGTTGTAGATGGAGTAGGTGCTATGCCTCAAAATTTTCAATACTTAGTTGATTGAGGCATAATTTAGCTCTTCTAAACATACCCCCCCTTTTTTTTTGGTTATTGGAAATTGTAAAGATGACAGTGACATTTCTTGGGCTTAATCTGTTTCCTTTTAAAGTGTCATATTTCTTCATAAGCTCATTGGTTTATCAGGCATGTCTAGAACCAAATATGCTTATGATGAGACAGTGAAATGTACAATTTTAGAATGTTTCTAGTTTCTTTGGTTCTCTCTGATATTATTAGATATTGTATTAGTCTTATGCAATTCATTATAGGAATAAAATTTAGTTACTTCTCTTTTTATTCAAGGATATTAATTAATATTGGTACGACAAATGAACTCCAATGTTCCATATTATTCGAGTTTTACTTCCAAAGAAGCATACTCATCAAGAAATCTAAACTGATTATGGTTTTATTAAAATGTAAAATCTGTGATTTCTATGTTAATTGGGTGTGAAATAAGTTTTGCTATCGTAAGTGGTACACACGCTAAACCCATTTTTTGTTTTTCGTCACATTCTTCCCATGTTATTTATCTGCCAGATTAAGCTCGTTAATGTCCCTTCAAAAGCTGTATACCTTTTAAGTCGGCCAATTGTGTCGGCCAGCATTAATCAAATTTAGTATACTCATTATATTTTTATTGCTAAATTTCACATATTTATGAGTCAAGTTGGATTCACCTATCCAAAAATTTTAGCTTTTTTTCGATTTAAACTGCTAATTGTTTCTTTTACTTCAAATAAAATTCACGCTTGCAGAGTCTTATTTGGATTAGCTTTTGTAATTTTAAAAGCCTAAAAACTAACTTGACCAATTTCAGCTCAAAAATTTTGTTTCGTTGCCATTAGAGTCAAATAAATAAATAAATAATCCAAAAATTAAGTTGAAGCTAAAAATACATTTTGGAGTTCTCAAACTAACTTTTTACAAAAAAAAAAAAACATATTCAAATATAAATCACATCGCACTCATTAAGTTTTACTCCAGTTTTAATTTATAAAATTTAATTTGAAATAAAAAAACCACTACTGCGAATATTAACCCAAAGTCTGTTGGAAAAAAGAAATTAAACCAACGTCAACTTATTATAATGTATACAATATTTTTAAAGAAACTAATACAAACAAATAAAGGTAAACAATTCAATATAAGTCAATCAACTCTTGCCGCTATTTATAAGCAAATGTTTTCCTTTAAGAAAACTTAAATAACGACCTGCACAATATTAGGGTAAAAAAGGCAAAAAAAAAAGAAAAGAAAAGAAAAGGAGAGGACAGACTTGAATATTTTTCTTTTAGTGCACAAAAATAGCGTATCAATTTTTTGATAGCATTTTTTTAATCATAATGGAGTACTACCTTTGGTCCTAATTATAAGAGCCAGTTGACTAATTTGAGGAGATTAAAGAAGTAAGTTGAGTTAGTTATTTGTCCTAAATAAGTGTTGTCTTTCCTAAAATATCCTTACTAATCAAGTGTATTGATTAGAACTATCATTGTTAGAAGGGCTGCTTTGAAAAAAAATGTATAAATATGAGAGAAAAAGTGGATTGGGATCTTATATTTAGGACTAAAATAAAAGTCAAACAAGATCTTATATTGAGGATAGGAGGTAGTATTAAATAATTAAAAATGTTTCAATGCCAACATTTAACAGTAGCATCAGTTTCTGTTTGCAGCTTATCTCCTAATAGTTGACTTTCCGTCTTTTCTCTTTCCAGGATTTTCCGCTAATTATGTTTAATTTTTATGTTTGACTAATAAATTATATTTTCCGCCGAATTTATGTGTTTTAAAGTTCTAAATATAAATGAGATAATTTCCTGCGTATCAAAAAAGTAGTAAATTAAATAGCTTAATATACAAAAATATAATTCTTGATTCGTGAATTATACAGTAAATAATGAATGTGGAGGCAATTCCAAACCTGATGCATTCCCAATTATCTCGACGGTAACATCTCAATCTCAATTAATAATTAAATACAGATGAACATGTTCTAATCCTGATAATAAGACGAGCAGAGATCTGAGAACCTCGCGAATCACATTGAATTTGAATTGAATTTAGGGAGTGTTTGGATAAAAACAAAACTATGGTTTCAGAAGTGCTTTTACGAATTACGAAGTAAATATGTGGAGGAAGTTACCTCGTTTTGCGGAAAAGTGCTTCTGAAAGCACGGTTTCAGAGCATCCAAACAGGCCCTTAGAATGTTTTGTCATCAATCTGCGTTAACGAAGTTTAATCATCGTCTTCTTCATCAGTTCATGGATCTGTAGACTGTTTTCTTCTTGCATTCCCTTCCTCTTCGTCTGCTTGGCACGCCATGGATGAGCGGACGCAAAAGTCGGAACCAACTTCCGACGGCGCCGGAAGAAGTTACTGGCGGTTGACCAAGTACGATCTTTTCCCGGGAGATTCTTTCCATAGCCTCCAATCCTACAGGAAGGCGTTGTCGGAGACATGCCCTCGCCTCTTGGACCGTCTCACCGACCGCTCCACTGACGAATATGAGCTCCTTAAGCTACCCAAGGCGAGCGAGAATGATATGAGGAAGTGCCTCACTTGGTGGGACTTGATGTGGCTAAGCTTTGGCGCTGTCGTCGGCTCCGGCATCTTCGTCATTACCGGCCAAGAAGCACGTGCCCATGCGGGACCGGCAATTGTCTTATCCTACGCTGCTTCCGGCCTCTCCGCGTTGCTCTCCGCTTTCTGCTACACCGAATTCGCCGTCGAAATCCCTGTCGCCGGAGGTTCGTTTTCTTTCCTGCGTATCGAATTGGGTGATTTTGTGGCCTTTATTGCCGCTGGAAACATTTTCTTAGAGGCTCTTGTGGGTGCTGCTGGATTGGGTCGGTCTTGGACATCTTATTTTTCTACTATGATCAAAGACGACCCTGATTTTCTACGAATTCGAGTGGGTGCTTTCAAAGAAGGTTTTAACATGTTAGATCCTTTGGCTGTTACGGTGCTTCTAATTGCTAATGGCATTGCTGTCTCTGGAACAAGAAGGACTTCAATACTGAACTGGCTTAGTTCTATAGCTACCACGTTTATAATTGGCTTTATAATCGTGGTCGCTTTTATTCACGCCAAGACTTCAAACTTAGTACCTTTTGTCCCATTTGGGGCAAAAGGAGTGTTTGAGGCCGCAGCAGTAGTGTTTTGGTCTTACACTGGTTTTGACATGGTGGCAACCATGGCTGAAGAAACCAAAAAACCTTCCAGGGATATACCAGTGGGTTTGATTGGTTCAATGACTATGATTACTTTGATATATTGTGTAATGGCTTTAGCACTCACAATGATGCAGAAATACACTGAGATAGATAAGGATGCTGCCTATTCTGTTGCCTTTGTGAAAATCGGAATGAATTGGGCTAAGTATCTTGTGAGTATATGCGCATTGAAGGGAATGACCACAAGCTTGCTCGCTGGATCTCTAGGTCAAGCTAGGTATACAACTCAGATTGCAAGATCTCACATGATCCCACCCTTGTTTGCTCGTGTTCACCCAAGAACTGGAACCCCTGTGAATGCTACACTTTTGATTACTATAGGCAGTGCAATTATTGCCTTTTTCTCTAGTTTGGATGTTTTGTCTAGTGTTTTCTCTTTCAGCACTCTGTTCATTTTTATGCTCATGGGTGTTGCTTTACTGGTGAGGAGATATTATGTCAGGGATAGAACATCAACAAATGATTTCATCAAACTTGTGGTGCTCTTATGTGTTGTTATTGGTTCTTGTGCTGTTGGAACAGCACTTTGGAGCTCAGGTAAGCTAGGCTGGATTGGTTATTCAGTATCTGCTATTGTCTGGTTTGTTGCAACTTTGGTAATGGCTTTCCTTCCAAAACAGCGAACTCCGAAGGTTTGGGGTGTTCCACTGGTTCCATGGCTGCCTTCATTGTCCATTGCTATGAACGTTTTTCTGTTGGGATCATTAGATCCTGCGGCATTCTGGAGGTTTCTGATTTGTTCTGCAATAATGCTTCTGTACTATGTATTCATAGGTGTCCATACAACCTATGACCTTGCACATGAGGATGAACCAGAATCAAAACAAGAGGAGGGCAATGTTGGTAAAAACGAAGGGTTTTTGTGAAATGTTTCATTTATGATAATGGAAATGTTTAATTGGTGTGATTCTGCTGTTTTTATTACCCAACCTTTGCAACACAAATAGAGTTCTCTCTGTAAAATACAAAACAACTCAACATGTTCCGTGGTGGAATCTTGGTTCAGATTTGCATTCTGTATTCCTTGACGCGAAAGGATCTCTTTGTCCTTTAAAACATAGCCTTGTATCCTTAGTCCACAATTCTGCAGTAGCATTTCCCAACAGAAAAATTCAGTTACACTTACAAATGTTAGATGCCTACTAATAAGTTCCTTAATAAAATTAAATTGCTTTAAAAGACTCAACATCATGGTAAAGCGTTCCAAAGAAATGTTCATGTTTTCTTTCTTGGCCAACACAGACAAAATGTAACGCTTTCAGCAGCAACTGTGTTTAATTTCACCTAATGATCAACATAAATAAAACTACATCTCCAAAACAAATCACTTGCTGGCATTGTAACAGGCAATTCCAGAGAAAAGTAATCAACTGTCAAACCTAAGATTGCCAAGTAACAACTGAGATTACCACTCCATTACATTCTCTTTTTCTATTTTAAAACCTTAATGGGGTTATTACCGAGCCTTATGGAATCCAACCCATCCTGCTCTGCCCTGAAATTAGCCCATTCAAGACATGTTAAAAATCATCTACCATTTCGCAAGGCATTACTCAGTCCCATGTACACTTCTAAAACTATATAGAGTTTGTAACTATTTATCAGAATTTATTATGCCCCAATTTTGATAAATAGTACAAATTCTACCATGGTTTAGAAGTGTACAAAGGATTGATTAATGCCTAACCCAAAACCCAATTTAGCCTCTCTAATTGTGGATAGTCTTTTTTGGGAAATCTCAGAGATTTCACTATAACGATGTCAAATTAGAATAAACGACTCTACGTTAAGCTTACAGATACATAACTCAAATAGGTTTCAGCTTATCTAAAATTTCTCATTTGCTTTATCTTTAAGTTGTAATATATTAATGAAAAGTAAAATTCAAACTTCTAAAATTAAACGTGGAGGATGTAATAAAAAGAAATATGGATCTTCCTTGTAGAAAATTCAAACGTTGAGACGATCAAGGTAAAAGCCTAGAAGTCAATTGTTGAGGATCAACTCAAATATATATAGCCTTTTCCAAAAAAGAAAGAAACTTTGTATTTAAAAAGAAAAGAAAAGAAGCTTGTGCCTTATGAGCTCTTATATATGTTAGTGATTTAATGTATATCTGGTTTGAGCATAATGACTTGTTAAACATAGCAATCGAAACTGGTTTATATACAGGTCCAATTAATTAAGTAAAGAAGCTAATTAATTAGCCTTTTTAATTTTGTGGTGTGAGGCTATTATCCTTCAAAACATCTTTATCCTCACACGCGCACACACACAAACACTAACCTGTGGATAATGCAGACAGCATAATCACAACATAATCATGATCGAAAATTGGGCGAATGATATATCAAGGCATGCTTAATGCTCTAATCTAGAAGTACAAATCACACTACTAGGCCGACCAATTTAATCATGATAATTAATCATCAGAGTCTCTAATACCTATCATCTACAGAATATGACTTTTAGCTTCAATTCATTTCCCTCACGCTGATTAACAAACCCCACTATACCTAATTAATGCATCTGTTATTTCAGAGCCGCAAAAGTTCAATAATGATCATGATCACCAAAAAATCTCAATCATTAGCTTGTGGGTTTAGGTGCTCCTCCGTTCTTTAATATAATACCCATTTAACTAATTTGATTAGATTAAGGGAGTTAGGTAAATTAGTTACTTATAAGAAAAGTGACACATTTTTCCTAAAACACCATAATCATCTTTCTTAATACCCCATTTCCCTCTTCTACTTAATTATAGTTGAGGGAGTATCCATAGGAGTAATCTAGAGAAAATTAATAAATATGATAAATAGATCTTATATTTAGGATCAAAACCAACTCAACAATTAGATTCTATATTAGGGATCGGAGGAGTATTATAAATTGGTCTGTTTGAGAATCAAACACATTCTGGGGTCTTGTCAACGAAATATTAGGCCGAGTTTGTTCCACTTTGTGTGAACATGGATGGATAGTATATATCTGAATGATCGATCAATTCATAAATGTGCGCGCGGGTAGTTGCGTCTTGATCCAGGCTCTTCATATTTGATGGTTTTGAGAGGATTGTTATCATTTCTAATAGGAATTTTTTGTGAGGGGGATGGTCTCTCGTGATTTGTGAAAAGCAAATATATGGAATCATCTTTTTAGATTCCGCGAGTATAATTATTATCTAATTAACATCTTTTCACCAGTAATTTGGCTCTTCCTGAGTTCAAGAATTTTCTGATTATTTGTTTATTATTGTTATAAATGGTCAATGGTTTGGATAAACTCAATTTTGTTCTGCATATGATTTTAATTATTGTGTACCAGAAATAAGAGAGAGAGAGAAAGAGAGAGAGAGATTTCTCCACCTTCTTTTCTTACATAATCTTTCATCACTTGCACCAACATGACCTGTTTGATTTTATTTTTGGGCTTGTAAAACTACGTTTTTCAAACCTCAAAGTTTATTGGAGAAAAACTCCTTTGTTTGGAAAAAAGTTGGTCCTAAAATCATGGTTGTCTTACAAACCTGGCTTTTTTAATTAGAAAATATTTAAACATAAATTATATTACGCTCATTAATTTTCAGTATGCAAATTACAGTTGGCGAAGGATTTTCCAAACTCTAACTCAAACATACACGAATTAAATCTCTACAAAAGGGGTAATTGCTTCGCACCTTAGCGTGTCTGTGATAGCCCTCTCGATACCTTATTGGAGCTTTGTAACTAGTGGCCGGTTTCTAGCACTTCACCAAGGATCTCCTTTATGTCATATACTCCACCATGGAGGATTCCAGTTTATTTGAGGTTCAAATAATAATGATTACAAAATAGATCCTCAAGCACTAACTAGGGTTGGGTAGTTAGTCCCTAACAACCGTTCAAACTAATGTTTGAATTCCTATTAATTAGAAGAAGTATTCACATTTAGCACCCGACAGTGTCTCAAATGTAGTTATTTGTAATAAAAAGATACTTATGCCTAAAAAAAATCTTCAAGCTTAAAAAGTAAAGATACATCTTTCAAAAGGATCTAATTGAAGCTTTAAAAAATTACAAAGATAAAAAAGGAAGGTGATTTTTTTCATTTTAAATTGTGAAAAGTAAAGAAATATATATGGATCAAACAATATGTACACAAAGCAGGCGGTTATCTAGAAAAAAGAGAGATCTTTTTTTTTTTTTTGCTTTAAAAAAAATATGTATAGAATAGAAGAGATTGGATGTTGCTGGGAATAGATCCTGTCCTCCTTTTCCCCTGCTGTAGCCGTCACAGCTCCCACATTTCAGACCCTCACATGCCTTTCTTCTTCTCCTTTCCTTTTTAATTACCAGTTAGGGCCCATAAAACCCTCTTAACATGAATTCTTTACGTATAAGGTTTAAACGCAAGACCTGACATAAATAAATAAACCCCAGATAATTTGAATGATAAATTTTATTATTAGTTTTTTTTCTTCATATTCTATTCAATTTTGAACACTTCTTTTTTGAATTAGAAAATGAGGTATTAATAATCTGATATTAGAGTGAAATCGGATCTGTAGCCTTTCACTTACGAAGAGGAAAAAAAGCTTCTAGACCATTAGGCCTCAAAGCCATTTACTTATGATCTGCTGCAAAAAATTGAAGTGGGGTGGTCCAAAAGGAATTAGGGAATAATTTTGGTTTGATTTTGGAGGGGTAGCTGCGCGTGATTCACATGTTGAAATTGTGCACAAAGAAAGATGTGGATCGCACACGGATAGAGCGCATGCATTACTCATTCAATAAGAGAAGATTAAGATTTGGATTTGGATTCGGATTCGTGATATGATATGATCAATCGCAATCTCATCCCCTTCCCTTTACTGCTGCAACTGTCCCATAATAAATAGTACCTCCGGTTCTATTTATAAGAACTCATTTGTAGATTACAAACGAAGTCTTATAACTAAGACCGAAAATACTGATAAAAATTGCACTCTATATGTATATATGACCCTATTATATAAATTATAACACCAACATCACTATTATAAGTTTATAACCAAATAAATTTGAAGTGAGCATGAGGATTATATATACTAGTAAACCTGGTTGAAGGTAACTAATTAATATGATATTATTAAAAAACTTATTTTACAATGGCATATTATATGCCTTGACTCTTTATGCAACTCAATCAATTCTTACAGTTTAGTCATTAAAAATATTAGCTCATATATTATAGAAAATAAAATTATATATTTCATCAAACTTAAAAGACTAAAGTTTTACGTAGTTGAAACTATTAGGAATAAAGTTATAGTGAGTTAAAGTTTAAAAATCAAATTTTAACTGAATCAAAATTATAAAGGCAGTTGCACATTGAGATTGACTCAAGGTATAAGAACTAAGTTACAATCAACTTTAAAAAAAAAAAGGCATTTTCTCAATATATGTTAAAAAAATATTTGTTTCAATTCTAAATATAAGAGCTAATTAGATATTTAATTTAGTTTTAAAAATAAAATCACAATCTACTTTTTCTTTCATATTATTTATTCATTTTTCCAAAATAATTATATTAAAGAGTTACCATTCTGATACATATAATTAACAAGGATATTTTAAGAAAGCAATATTCATTTACTAGAAATAATTAATTTAACTAATTTTCTAATATTCGCAAATTAGTTATCTAGTTTTCATATTTCAGAGAGACAATAGTACAGCATATGATCTTAAATATCATATCTGGTTTATAGTGCAATTCTTAAATATAAAATACTACCTTTGGTTCTTAATATAAGAGCTAGTTGACTAATTTGAGTAGATTAAAAAAATTTATTGAGTTATTTATTTGTATTAAATAGGTGTTTTTTTTCTAAAATATTTTTACTAATCATATGTATTAACAAGAACTTTTAACATGTGTAACTACTATAAGAGCTATCTTAATAAAAGATGAATAAATATAAAAGACAAAGTAAAATGAGGTCTTATACTTAGAATAAAATTAAATATTAAACTAATTATTATGTTAAGAATTGAAGGGAGTATTTACAAATTATAGAATCTCCTTTATAATACTAGATTTTATATTTAGAA